TGCAACTGTTTTTATGTACGCAGACGATACCACCCTGTTCTGTATCGGAGACACTGTAGACATTGTTATTGCCGAACTGAATGATGCTCTCAAGGAACTAGAGCTATGGTGCTTAAGAAATCAACTATTGCCTCACCCCAAGAAATGCGAAGGCATGCTAATTCATCGAGGAAACTTCACTGGTCCACTACAGTCATTAATACTGATGAATCATTGTATAAGATGGGTTAAACACACCAGGCTGCTTGGAGTCTATATTAATAATAGACTTAACTGGGACTACCATGTCAAAGCACTAAAGATCAGCTTTGCAAATAAGCTTAACATGCTGAAGCGCAGCTTGTTCTTACCAAGACCCATGCTACTGGACTTATACTTTAAAGTAATCTACCCATCAATTATATATGGTATCACCGTCTGGGGCGGCCTTACTAATAAGGAGGGCCTAATTGCATTAGAGTCTTTACACTGTAGAGCGGCAAAATTAATTTTTAACTGGCCATGGGATATGCCTAAGTCTGACGTACTAAGCAAAGCTCGATGGTCTTCTATTGAAACCACATATAAAGTTAATTTAGCTAAACTGATGTTCAAAATAGATAAGAAGACTTTACCTATATCCATCTTAGATACCACCGAAGAAGTTGACGTGAATACTAAGAAAAATCTAAGAAGTAATGCCAACATAAAAGTACCAAACTTCAATACATATTACATGAAAAACAGTTTTTCCAGAAGAGGACCTATCATTTTTAACACACTTCTCCAAGAATCAAATTTAAGAAATATAACCATTAAGCAGCTCTCCTCGTTAGCCTACAAATCAAAGGCACTTTTAAATTTTAACTTTAATTCCATTTCTCCACAGACAGTGAATTTTAAGGACCCCAATTTTAAATATTTTTAGATCTTCTAATTTTGATAGGCTACTTTAATTATTGTATTTTACTACATTTCATTTTATTCCATTTTACGCACGACCCCACAAGCGTGTAGTCGCTTTAACAATTATCGTGTTTAAATAAAGTCTTTGTATTGTATTGTATTGTATTATTAATTTAGTGATTACACGATCCATTTCTAATTCAAGCCTTTTGTTATTATTTCCCTCGTGCATATGTTAATAAGTAGTCCGTTTGAAGCGTTACAAGTTTATAATCTTATCTATTTCAAAGTATCAGTTGTATTGTTTTCAAGCATGTTTTGGTTCGTTAAGTCCTCTCATATTTCATTTTAGTCTTGTTACTTCTCATGCGCGGAGTATGATTATTTCAACGAAGAATTGTTGTTATGCCAATTGGGTTCGGCCCCCAAATATCTTTAGAGTAGTTTTGCTTTGTGACCCTTTTGTTTTTAGTTTATTTAGCTTTATATTTAGTTGTATTTTGTAATCGTTGTCTTCAGTTTTCGAGCATTATCGAACCGTCCTCATCGACATAATAAATTCGTTTATCACCGTCTTCAAGTTTGGTTCTTTGGTTCTCCGTAAACTACGCCCCCCACCCATTCACGACACGTCCTGTATTCCTCGATAGTCGCTGCCGCCACATCTGGTGATTTCTGCTGTTTTAAGCTTGCTTTACCATCACTGTTATTCATGTCAAAAGATGAAGTCAAGGCTGCACACTCAGAAATCGACTGTTGTCCACATGGAGGATGGAGGTGGCCTGCACCCCAAAAATCCTCCTGATCAGCATTTTTCTCAGCCACATTTTATTGTAGTGACTGTTTTTTCTTTTTTGGAGTTGCATGACTGACAACGTTTTGAAATTGTGAGCCTCGGTTCCAGTTACGTACCTCGTAAAAATACGTATCGGGGATGTTTTTTTAGAGAGCAGAGATTTTTGAGTTGTGTTTTCCTAATGATTTGAGGTTTCACTTTGTGAGGATTAAACCTTTAATTCAAAACTAAAACGAGTTATTTGGTGTCTCTGGAAACGGAAATTTGGTTCCCACATTATGATCTAAGATCATTGCACTGGACATGTCTCAACACCAAAAATGCCCGCGCACTTTGCTGGAAACGAACATTTCCTGCCTGCAATACCAAGTTCGTTTCTTTCTAGCTATGCTTTGAACAAGCAGGCAGAACACCACTGTGGAAGAGACTTGGGTTTCAGGATCAGTTTTCTCTCTACCACAAGTGGTATGGTCAATTGATGTACAATACTTGCCCCATCCCCACAGAGACACCTCTCCTCAATCTATTGTCCTGATCAACCAATCACACAGCGAGGTGAAATTAAAACAGATGAACAACAGACAAAATTTGAAGCCAGATTTGCTGGGAGAACCTAAGCTTGGATTATTTTTGCAGAAATGCCACACAAGAGGAAGGTGCGTGGTGAAATTGACCATGAGGCAAATCAGAAAAGAGTTAAGAGTGGTGGATCAATATCATAACCCAAAGAATGAACTGGAAGCAGCCCTCCATGAGATGAACCACAATAAGATTCAAA